TAGTATATAGCGATGGTCGGACATTGAATGTATTTCAGTAAGAGATGGATAAAGAGAGAACGGAAACGGGACGCAATTGGTATGAAAATGCATGAAAAATAATAATAGAAGACTATGGACTGACATTTGCAGAAGGAGTAGTCAAGATTAAGATAGTTGATTGATAGTTGGCAAATTAACTGTTTAATATATAGTTGTTAGATTTTATTGAGATATTCTGTAATTTAGTTCTTAAATATATTCGATTGTCCCATTCGTGTTCTTCTTCATTACGGTAGGATTAGTAATATTTTAGAGATAATTATTTTTATAAAGTGGCACCAACTGGAATATCACTGAAATCTAGGATGTTTCTGAGAATTAAATCGTTTTAATTTCAACATCTATAAATAAATAGTTAATCCCTTTACATTAATGGGGTGTAAGAAATCAATAAAAAAATATGAATATGACTACTCAGTTATAAACCTTTTTTTGCAGTTACAATAACCACATACTAAATGTTCGAATTAACCAATCAAATAAGTGCTTTCTATCCCATTGTAGAAATAGTTTGTATTTCCTCTAGCTGATATTAGTAATGAATTTCAATGCAGCAAAATTAAAAAGTTTTTATGAGAAAGTATAAGTTAATGAAAATCGATAATCAAATAGTTTGTTTAGTCTTTTTGCCTAAGAATTATTTCAGTTGGAAGTCAACTGATATTGCACTTAATAATTAGTGAAATAAATTGTTGATTGATCATATTTTTAGTACACATTTTGTCTTGAACTCGAGCTAACATAAAGTCTAAAAATTACTAAAATCGTGTAAGTATAATAAACCTCCTCTCAATGTTCAATTAAGTGAAATGTCCGATATTTCGGGTGTTTTTTTTTCTCGTTCATTTAATGGATCAGCACTGTATATAATTGTAATTTTCATCGGAGATTTCATTTCAGTCATCTAAAGACATTTGTTGATATATTCAGTAAACAGGACTTTATAGTGCATCCCAAATTGCTGAGTTAGTAAAGTGAATAAAATTTACTGGGTATTGAAAAGCAGATGAGCTACACATTCATCGGCATGTATCTTATCGTTTGAAATCAATTTCCCATCTTCAAAAAACTAACTCAATTGATTATCGAAGTACTAATATTGAAAAGAAGAAATGACAAAACATGTAACCAGTTGTGTTAGATTCATTATGGTCATCAGAATAAACCTAACTAATTATGTAAACTATCTTAGCTTTCTTGTACATAATAGTATTAGTTAATAAATAATTTCTTACTTAATGATCTTTTAAAAATAATGTGCTTACATTTATTTTAATATCTTATGTTAGACGTTCATATGTAATGTCTGTAGTGAAACATATATAAAGAATACAAAATGTACTGTCCGAATTAATTGGTTTTATATTACTGATATTTGTTTATAAATGATTAAGAGGATACATATTTATAGGTACTGAACGTACATTTACATGCATGAACTTGCATGCATGCACGTGAGACCCGCATTGATGACTAAGCAAAATGTATTTATTATTATTACCGTTATCATTAATAATATGATAATTAAGGAAATTAGCCCAACATTAACACATTTCGTTTACTTCTATATTGAATATATATTTAAACTAATTTGATTACAAATTTTAAACTCCTTTTTAATTGTTTGGCAAAATCCCTAATATACTTATATACATACATACTCCATAATCTTTCAAAACTTTCCGGAAATAAATAATCATTTTTATCAAATGAAGAATTTATTTTTCTCATTTTTTTTATGCATCAAAAAGTTAATTATCTTATCAACTACATTTTTTAATAGTAAATACTGAAGAAAGAATTGGTGTAAAACACGCAAGAAAATTCAAAAAAAAAATAAAAATAATAAAAACGTAAAATAATTGTTAATATCCTTTCAAGATTATATTTAAACGTATTTCTTTATTGCTGGTGAACGGCCTATGCTCCTCCACGAGGGGTAACAGGTATAAGTAAGTAAGTAAGTAAGTATTTCTTTATTGTCTTATAATACTTCATAATAATGCATACATACAAACTTTAAGCCTCAAAATTGATTGGTTAAAGTAAACTATTTTATTCATAAAGTGAATTGTAGTTAATGTTTCGGTATTCTACAAGTAATTATCTTCAATTTACTACTACTTTATTAAGTTATATATAATTTAATGAATATGAATTTAATTGTTTCTTTCATTTACTTAAACTTAAATTAGTTAAAATGAATTGTACCATCCATTATATCTAAATTGATTCACTAAACTCATCTTTAAATAGTAATAATCTTAAAAAAAGTATCATTTTAATTTATTTTTATTATATTTGAAAGGATCTTTAGGAAGATCATAGTGATATTTGTAGGCATATATAAAACGAAAATACTTCATTGTGTAATAAAGTTTATAGAATTTAACATAGCTAAGTAAATCAGATTTTTACTTTATTCTTATATAAAGAATGTATAGATGCAAAGCGACGGTAACGTAATGATGTATTTTCAGATGTTATTAGAATAATAATTATTATATATTCTGAAAATAATTACAGAATACAGAATTCACGCCAGTTTACAGGCATGATCAATTTGATATAAATAGCAACATTAGATGTAGAGAACAAACATGTGATATAAAATTGTTTTAAGTTTGTTAGTTTAGTAATTGCTTATGTAGTACATTCATGACATATCTCATGGCAATCCAATTCATCGGCAGGGAACTATTAATTTTTTCTTAAGTGGATAGCCTGATGATTTATGAATGGTGTTCTTTAAGGTTATTTCCAATACCAGGACGAATTATTGGTAAGTATCTACAACTAGAGAAAGTAAAATTAAAACAGAGAACACGGAACAACAATGCAATGATTGTCTAATATATGTTGGTCAGGTTTATCACTGTTCATGTTAAATATTATTCAAATAAGTTAAGGTTGCTAGGGCCAGTGCTAATGTAAAATGACAGCAGGTAAGTGGTTAAACATTTAAAGTTCCTATAATCTCACTCGTGGAGTAAGAACACTTACAGGAGATACACTTACCGGAATGAATTATCCTCTCTGATGTGAACAAGATGAACGTTTCATTCATATTACTAATTGAATTATCTGATAGTTTACTGAACATATATCTCTTGATGGTCGGGATCAAGGTTAGATGAAATTAATAGTTAATTCCATTTTATTAATAAATTGTCGACAAAACTACAGTATTCAGTATCATTTTTCATATTTCATCTTAGTTTTTCAACGACATTCCAACTAATCTTTTAAAAATACTGTAAACAATAGGAATTTTAGCCAAAAGTTGTAATCTTTCTACCCAAAAAAATGTTATAGTATCTACTGTGACCGAGGAAAATTTTTCAAATGAACAATTTTTTCAAAAAATAAATTATTGATTGTCAAGAAGTCTTTCAGGAGATCAAACTTCAGACCTGAAATAACATCTATTTTTTCATAGGCTGATTCTACAGTATTCAGTATAATTTATAGATGAATATATTTTATTGAAATCATGAACCGATCAATATTAGGCCACCACTAATCTTAGAAACACTGAAAGGCTATTTTGTTTTGGTATGAGACTCTTTAGAGCAACAATCTTTATGTACTATTAAATTAAGATGAACTGGACCGTGAAATTTTCCTGATATTTAAAATATAACTGGAACTAAGAAGAGATTTATTTTATTATGGACTAGATTCAAATGTATCGAAGATGTAAACAAAACTTTTAGCGGTTTTTGACCCAAAAGCCAGTTGTCTTATTAGGGCTTATGATGAAATGTTCCTAGGATTGACAAGTATAAATCGTCTTCGTCGGGTCTGAACACTAGATTTTTCTTTAACTTTGTCACGAACACTCTTTCAAGTATAATGAATTTTCTACCTGACTTTCATGATCTATTTTTCTACCAGATTAAACTATAAACCTGGGTTATGCTGACAATGTAATTCTGTTAGGAAAGATTCAGACATAATATAGCCTTCTCACCGTCCCGAGAACCAATGCAAGGATATCTGGGATATATTTTTATTCGTATAAATGCTAAACAGTGATTTTGGAAATGTCTATTTCATTGCTTAGTTTGATTACAGAGAGGGAAGTATTTCAGCTATCTTGTAGATTTAATTAGCAACTAATAAAGTCTCAGAACAAAATTAGATAAGCCTACTTGGTTTTTGTGATCTTGAACCACTTGTGACGTAATGCCTACGATAATAGGTGTACAATAAAAGACACCAAAGTGTGGCCGAATCATGACATGGAATCAGTCCATGACATTATTGAGTGTTATTCTAGGACATATAGGTCTATTTTTCAGTTGGGTCAGTATTAAATATAGTTATACTACTGAAAAAGGAACAATAAACATTTTATAATCAGTCAATTTTATTGAATAATTTAAATTATAATAACTGTACATTTGTAAAACTAATAATGATACACATTAAAGCAGAAGATAAAGAACATCTAATGAAGAATTTTCAAAGGGGTGAAATAAAATATTATATCCAAATAAAAATATGATTGTTATAATAGACTGTTTATTCTAACAATATTTATTCAATTTAACAAGTACAAGTACAAATGATCAAAATTGATTAAATTAAAAAAAAATTTTTTTCGATTGTTTTAATTATTGATAGAAATTGGGTAATTTTTTAAAATTAATTTAAATATACAATTTGTTTATAAGAAATAAAAGAAATTTAGAAAAAAATATATCAAACTGTTTTGTCAAGTTTAGTTGATAGGTAATGAAAGAACAAGTAATTTTTATTTTTTTAAAATACTAAATTCTAATTTGTGTAATGAAAAAAGAATGTTATTTATAATCATTTCAGATCATCAAACTGTCATTCGAATAAGAACATTGTGTTCGTCAGGTAACACAGGTATTCATTACATATGATGTATCTGTAATGTAAAACATAATTATAAGTAATTAACAGACTACATTTTATATTTCATTCATTTATCCATCAGCTAATTGATCCATCCAATTAGGACTTTTGAAAAATTCTGGAACTGGTTGATCCATTCTAGCTATCACTTTATAAATTGGTTTTTTCCATGATTGTTCTGAATCTTTACCAGTATAAAGTGCATTGAAAAATTCACGTAGTGTTGCTTCAACAACAATACGAAAATGATCTGGTACCTATAAACAGTGAATTAAGAATTTTATTAGTATAGGAGATTTGTGGCAACTGTAAAATTCCCAAAATTTAAATTTAAAACTGATTTAAACCATATAACTATTGAAAGCCTAGAAGCATAGAAATGCTGCTTAATCCTAGTGTAAGAATCTACCACTGACACGCACCCTACAACGTAAATGTATAACTTCAACCAATTCTTAGTTACGTACTGGTTTGTTGATCTAAAGGTTAGGAATTTGAATGTCAGACGGAAAGCCCAGGATTCGGTCTCTTTTGGGGGATCAGGTTATGCACTTCAGAGGAGTCCCATACTAGAACTGAATAGCCGTTCTGTGCTTCCAGGTCTTAAATAGTTTTCTGGCTGAGATCAGTTAGTGACGTAAGCTCTGATAATAATTTTAATTGACAAAATGTTCATATCAATGTGAATATATGTTCACTGATTTGTGCTTAAAAATTTACATGATAAAGGATTTGACATCTGTTCAGGCGGGAACCATGCTATCGTCTCGGTAAAGCTTAACGGAGGTAATTAGCTACATGTGGCTCTTTGTACAAGTCTGTGGATCATATTGAATATAATATGACCATAACTGATATGATCTAAACCTTTTAAAAATAATCGAAAAAACATTTCATGATTTATTGCACCATAACAGGATTTCGGCACAGGATAACTTGGTAAGGTAAGTCACAAAGTGATGTAAAAAGGACACTATTCCAGTAACTACAATATACCACAATATCAAACTAAAGAATACTGCTTCGACAATAAAGTAGAAATTATGCATGACATGTGTGATTTCAGCAGATCTTAAATGATCAAATGATTTATCACGTCTATTGCTCACACTCTGTCATGAGATATAAAGTTTCAAGTTATACCAAGGAGAAAGTTTTAATCCAACAATTTTCCTTTCATAAAAGAGATATGGTTTATCAATAGATTAAGAGAAAATAAACTAATGTACATAACTTGACAATTCATATAAAATAAAATTTACATGACATGAGGAATCATTACGACATATTAAAGTATTCCTATCATGTTACATTTTCTTGATTAACACATTCATAATTTAAGAAGAAAGTGTGTTACATATCATAAAGTTAGAAAATAAACCAGTTTTACTTTCATCGGGTATCACCATTTGTAGCATCTTATCCAAATCAGTAACTTCAATCGCAAACTGTTTTGATTTTTTAATTAATGTTTATCTGGGTATTACAGATAAGTGTTGATTCGGTTTCTTCGATTTTCAGTTTATGGATTTGTTTAATATTTCTTTAATTCTGTTTAGTTTTTAATTCGTTTGACTTACCTACTACTATCTAAAAATACATTCTAGTAACGCTAAATGATTTGTAAATCACTGACAACTGCATAGTTTAATCGCTTGTGAAGAACTACTGTGATAACATAGATGTACACGCAATACTTTAGTATGAAATATAAGAGCCTATTCAGTAATGCAAAGTAAATACGATCATTAAAAATATTTTCTAATAGTTTCACTTACCTCTAATTGTTGATTACGATTATAATGTAAATTTAAAGCTCTGTATATTTCAGATTCAATTGTTACATGTATTTCATCAGCAATACGTATTCCCTCAGATATGGCAACTCGTGCATACTTTTCCATTTGAATGTAATAAAATTCCCTATGAAAATAAAAACATAAACAAACAAATGCTATTAATAATAATTTGGAGAACTACACTGATTATAACCTCTTCATAGTCACTTTTAAACTAATCTAGATACATACTATTATTTAAATGTAAGTTCTAATAAAATGTTGTTGAGTTTATGTTCAGAAGAAGTATTGTGTAATCTGAGGTTGAATTTACTATGACAGTATTCATTGTCAAACTGGTTTCATTTTAATGGAACTACTATATAAGTTGTCTGATTCAACGACTTACTGACTGAGTAATTTAAACTGAACCTCTATAATAAATATTTTTATGGACACATATTTTTAAAATTATTCTGGTGAGCAAACAAACTCGACTTTATGCAGTCAAAAAATTGTGACTAGGATCCTAAATCATTGACATAGCACCAATTAAACATGTTCATTAATATAAGTAGTGTTTAACCATCAAAATCATATCATATTAAATTTTTACTTTCCATAGTTAAGTTTTTTATGCACAGTAACATTTTATTTATAAAAATCTCTTTAAATTATTGTGTTTATTGTCAGTATACTACTTTGAGAATCTAACCTAACAGAATTCTAAACACCCAGCATATGCAGTGTATATACTACTACTGTGGTATGGTCTACTTATATCCATATAAGTAGTATATGGTGACGGTCAGACATAGATTGTATTTCGGCAGAAGATTGATAAGGAAAGAACAGGAATGAATAGTAATCGGTACGAAAATTCATGAACAATGAAATCAGAGAAGACGAACTGATATCTGCAAAAGGAAGAGTTAACATTGAGACAATTGATTGCTATTTTGCAAATCAACTATTTACTGTATGATTATCAAAATTTAGTGAAATAGTCTGTAATTTGTGTTTAAATGCATTTGATTGTCCCCAACTAGTGTTCTTGTTCACTACACTACTACTACTTACATATAAAATAATGAATTAGTATACTTTATTTCTAGATTATTTAATTCGTTATGAAAATGGAGAATAGAAGGATAATGCAATTAAAACAATTTCCTAGTTCAATTGTAGTATATATTTCTTCCATTTCTAAAAAAAAAACTATTATTATTTTAGATAAATTAAAACAAAATCCCTGTTCTCCATATAGGGGATTCAAATAATCAATATTTTCAATAAGTGATTGTATTTTATTTATATTTCCCATAAAAATAATAATACTAGAAACAAGATAATTTTATTATACATAATAATAAATTTACTTAGAGATTATCATAAATAAATCAATGTCATCTAAATACATTATAAGATGAAAGATAGAGATAGAGAAAATTTAAATGAATTAAAAGAAAAGAGATAAGCAAAGGGGAGGGGAGAATTACAAAGTAAAAAAATACATTATTATCATTAAGTATTGAAGAACATAAAATTAACAAAATTATTAAAATGATTTCATTTACAATGTTATTAATATCTCTATTATTGTTGATTAAAATTAGATTTTATTCTTTACCATTTGTCCCAAAGTGAACATCAACTCTGAGATGCAGATACATCCAGCTGACGAGTCCCAAATAGGACGAAACGCGTGTCCTGGATTCCACTGCTAGCCACTATCCATCTCTGCTATACATATATATAGTTTTTGTTACTTGGACGATACAGGCTGAAAAAACTAATTCTCTTAACTTATATGTTTTACTAATCTGTTTTCAAAAAAATATATAAATCAACGAGAAAATAATAAATTAATCATCATAGAGGTTTTTCACTTTGCAGTGTCTTTTTTTAAAAAACTTTTGATTCATTTTAATTCATGAGGCAATTTTCATTACTATTTTCACAAATGAAATCTCGTACTTATGGTAATAGATTGTTTGCTACTGTTAGTTAAAAATAAAACATAAACAAAAGACAATTTTTTTATAAGTTTTTCACTTTAGTCACAAGTTTCCATGAAATGGAGAATGTTGATCAATCAATTACAATCCAATAGCTCAAAATCTTAATGTTCTTTGAGAGATTTAAATGTTCTAGGAACAATTATGTGTGAGATTAATGATATACAGTTGTTAAGTATATTAGCCTAAAAGAAAAAAAAACGTTAACGATCTTTTTGGTTTCATAACAGTACATATCTTCTTCGAATTAAATGATGATTGAGTTGAATAATAATTGAAAACAGTGAGTAATATAATAAAACATTCACTAATCTACTTAGTCAATCCTTCATTGAACTTTTTCATTTAATTTAACTGCAATCTAATCAACTCAACAGATTAACTACTGATATTCATCAACAAACAGACTTCAAGACACGTGGCCATATATATGCATACATACACATTACTAGTTTTACTTTTGACCTTTCTATACATTTCAATTATATGTATTTTTTAAATTAATAGACAAATAAGTAAACAGGTAAACGGGCATTTGTTCAATTATTAATTCAATCTTTCATCATATTTTTATCTAAATGGTTCATCATCAGCTCATACATTTGTTTATTTAACTTAAGTTCGAGGTTAACTAATAAATGATATATATATATATATATATCGGTTTATATTACTCTTTTCAAAGTTTCAACCACCCATCCCCCCCTTATCCACTTTAGCAATTTACTATTTACTAAGATAATTATAAGTAGTATTGATAAATTTAAGTAATCAACTGTTTTATATTCTATACAATCTGTTCTCTTTATATATTCTTCTCATTTCTTTTTTATACAAAAAAGAAACGTGCAATTAGTTTTTTTTTAAATCTCTAATAAATCTTTTTAGACATGATACATCTTTGTAATTTTTTTTAATGAATCTATTCAAATAGTAATTGTAATGTATTTTTGTTTAAGGTTTTAAGGTGAAGGATGTAAGATTTTAATCTTAACTTATGTTAAGGGGTTTTATATAATGTTACAATTTTATTGAATACATTAAAGGCGGAGTACAGGTAATTGTTCTCGTGTATATAACTACAAATGAACATATTACTGCGGTTTAATGTGACCAAGATAGTGTTTGTATTGATTTGTTTCTTATTCTTCCTTTTTTCATTTTTCAATGTTTTTCATGCATCCTACTCACCAATTGTTTTAAATGTTTATGTTAATTAGGAGATAGTAGAATAATAGTCTTAGTAAAATATAATCAACACGAGAACAGTTTCTCATTATCATTATGAATAAAACAAAAAAGATCACCATATGCCCTTTTTTCTATTATTAAGATAGATTTCTAACTAGTTAACTATCGTTTTTGAGAGAATTAGTACAAAAGTAGAAAGGGTTATGTACTGATAGCTAAATCTGTTAATAAATAATATTTCTACAAAGATCAAAACTTTTATCATATATTTAATTTTGTATAGTTGAGATCATGAGTCAATTGAAGCTAGACCACTATGGAAAACCTGGAAAAACTAGACGGCTGTTTCGACCTATTATGGGAATTCTCAGCAGTGCGCATCCACGATCCCGCTTCGTGAGATATTTAATTTTGTTGAATATAATGATGAATTTACTAATAAAATCTGAATACGTTCAGAAGACATTGATAGTAAACTATTGTACTTTATTTCTATATTGAATGAAACTTCTTCTTTATATATCTTCAAGGAATTTAACAGACATTGTATAAAAATTCTTTCAAGAATAATTTATGGTGAACAGCGATTAGAAATTAAAGATTATTGTTAATATGCACAAAACTGTTGACTGTTTAGTTTATTAAAAATTCCCAATTCAACATTTATTGTATCGAAATTTATGAAAAGAAAATTATTCGCTCTATCTTTTTTCTTGTATTTAGTTCATGTTCAAAAGATCGAAACAATCAAACCTAAAAAAGGATTCGATATCGGATTCCTTTTAAGTGGTACATAGCAAATATATTCGCATCAACACATGAAAACTTTGAGTGTAATACAGTGCGAATCTGAAAGAGACCACTGATAAAGAATATTAAATTAGGGCTAACTGACTATCCAATGTCTCTTGATTTATCCAATAATTCACCAATTAATAAGCTACAGAACAAAAAGTTGAATTCCAGTTTAGTTCTATCGAAATGTAATGTTAATCTGACTATCGATAGAATCCGGTCAGTAGTGAAGAACTAGACAAACATGACAGTGATCACCACTCAGAAATCAATAGAATACCTCAACCCTACAAGAGATCATCATTCACTCAATTAGCTCAATAGTGGCAACTCAGGTTTCAGAGCCAAATGATTCTGTTTCGAGTCATACAAAAAACATCACTTACTTCAAGATTTAAAGTAAACATTGCTGATGAATGACAACTAATACGAAACCTTGGTCCAGAATTTCTTATCAACTACACTCAACCACCTAACTGCATGGATTCATTATTATTATTAATATATTTAAGTAAATAAATTTTTCAGTGAAATCAATTGCAAAATTATACAAAATTATTTAAAATACAAGCCTATCGGTTAAGTGCTCTGGCACGAGACTGGGTTCGAATCTCGCGAGGCGGGACCGCTGATGCGCACTGCTGAGGAGTCCCACAATAAAACAAAACGGTGGTCTAGTGCTTCCAGGTTTTCCATGGTGGTCTAGCTTCAATTGACTCATGATTTCGACTATGAAAATACTGAAATCTCCACAAAGCCCCTTCTGATGATAAATATTACCTATTACTAATATTACCATCATCAATATAAGCCCCAACAATTTGATTATATAAATATTAAGATATGAATTTATATAAAAGTTGAATTTTAAAATCACATGAATTTCAACAAGTACATTTCATACTCCGAAAAATTGAATTACTATTAGGTCAAAATAATCATTCAATTATGCTATTTATTTTACATTATTATTATAACTACTATGGATACATTTTTTTTGAATTATAGAATATCCATTAAAAAATACACAGATATTTACCTTCATGATTTTATTTCCAGTATTATTTTTAATATAAATTATCAGTCAGTTATTTTTTGTTTTAATGCTGAAATTTGGCTTTCCTCTCAATCATCTGACGTA